GGTGATATGATCAAATAATTAGAGACTGAAGAGGGACTTCCAAGATGGAAGATGGAATAATGATACTGTTCTCTGTGAATAACCCTGAGATCTGCTCAAAGTGCCACACAAAGATGAAATATAAGTTTTATAACCGAATTCACCTGAGGTGGGTTCAGTTACAAACTCAACTACTCCAAAAGACCTCACATTCTTAAACATCCTACGGCTCTGTCCATAACTGTTCACTGTAAACACTGGAATACTCTCAAAACCAGCAGATGTATTTTTTTAAAATGAACAAATCACACCAATTGCCATTTTAATTGTATCCAAGAAACACAGATCTTGACTGTAAAAATGCCAAAAGCTGAAAAGATAATGAATTCACTGTCACTTCTCTCGACACATACAAATGGAGAAAACTGAGGTCAGCACATGCCGCAAAATCATGACAGATTACACTCGAGGGAAGCACAGAGATGAGCCAGCACTACCAAACTGATTTATCTAGGGATTAGCCAGAGGTCACTCCTGCAACAGTTTACTAAAGCTTATTGCTTAGCTACCACCAGGACACCTTGCATGAACTCTAGCTTTCCATTAAGACCAGGCTTAACCCTTCTGCTGCCAAAAAATAACCACTGCTCAAACAAGCAGGATCTTGATGTTACGTCAACTTGATTCTCATATCTGGTCTCTTGTACTTATAAAACTATAGAAAAGGCACACAAAAGCTGGAGGGTTTCTTCCTTATTCACAAAATCTGCTTTCTCCAGAAAGGATGATTTCCCTTTCCACTCCAATTTTAAAAACAGAATCCCCAAAAGAGCTACCTGTCTGCAAGATCTGAAAAGCCATATGTCAAAGGCGGCTGCTGTATGTTTGAACAAGGTCCACCACAGCAGGCTCCCATTTCACACATAAATAGAGATGCATGACAAGTAGTTAATCATCCCTCTCTCAACTTTTGGCAGGGGAGAACAGCTTATGCATTTATGAAGCGCTTGGAGGCAAAGAAGTTGCTGATCAAATGTGCATTTTTATATGAGGACATCATCTCGGGAGGCTTGTGATGACTGGAGACTGTCAGTCAAGGTGCTTTCAAAACACCTACTCACAGCTCACCAACTTTCCTTTTTTTTAAAAAGGTGATATACAAAATCTTTATACAGCTGAGAGCCAAGAGAAACATGTCACGAATCTCAACAGACAGGCACCACCTGCTTATTAAAAATAATTTAACTAAAAAGATACACATTAACGTGGAATAAATCATACTTTGTCCAAACAGAAAAAGCTAAATTCTGGAGACTGACTTGAGCATGGCTTTCCATTCTGGAATTTGCTGAGTTTTATAAGGACTTCATCAGAATGTAATCTGTTTCCAGACATTATTTTCAACTTGCATTTTGCCAGACAATATTACTCATTAATAGAAGGCAATGGCCAAGTTAGTTTACTAAGCTGAAAAGCACTGGCTGGCTGCATCTATCATCAACCACGGTAAAAATGAAAAAAAACAGACCACTGAAATATTGATTAAAAAAACAGGTTATCTTAAATACTGCAATATATTCTCACCATATAGCAAAAGTGGTCCCATGTATGAGTTAGAATTACCAGCTTCCCAACAGTATTAAAGAAGTTCTAAGTCTGCTTATAAGCTTGTTCAAATTAATCAAATTATTTATGAAAAATACCTCCACGTACTCACACCCTGACTACATACAATCCAAAATGAATGAATAGAAACTGAAACAAGAGATTCACAATAAAGGCAAGTCCACCCTGTCTCATATAAACTCACATGTTTGGCAGTAAGAACTACTTACACGGAGTCTTAAACAGTCTCAAAGAATCCTCAGTGTCACCACATTGTATTTTAAACTGACCAGAGACTGGGTTCTGGTGGACTCTGAGATATGTTTTGTTCACACATTTCTCACCGCCCTCCTTCAGAGAGTGGGATCTGCTCACAAGCAAGAACAGTGATCGCTTTCCTCTCCCCTAAATCTAGCAGATTGTGTATCTGTGAGAAGATAAGTCTGAAGAGAGGTCCCAGCCCTTTCCAGAAGCATAGCTGTGCTAAAGCTGTTTTTAACAGAGCCACAGCAGCCCCCAAAATACGAGGCATGAAACCTCGGCGGCAGAAGGGGAGCTCTGTACCACTTGTCTTCTTCCAAGGGGAGGATCCCACCAGGGAGCTCCCACTTCCTCCGTGGTGTCACACCTCTCATGAATCACCTCCCTGCCTGCATGGGAGGAAGGGAGATGCCCTGAAACCTTTTGGCACCCACTCTGGAGAATCATGCAACCCATCCCAATCAAAGTAACTCTCTCTCTATAAGGATTTTGGGTATACAATCCAAAATCTAATACAATCTAAGTGCAACTGTAAAATTAGTTCATTGATTACTGGTGCTTTTTTGGAGTATAGCAAAGGAAAGGTGGGGAAGATTCAGCTTTCAGTCTGTACAGAGAAACTAGAGGAGAAATGGAAAGAGAAAAGGAAAATGACTAAATACCAGGAGGAAGCCTCTCACTTACAGCAGGGGCAGTGTTGAAGCTGGTAAGAACAAATTCTAAATCATTACAGTACAAAATATCAAGAAGACATAAGAAGTACTTACAGGTGCCTAACAAAGCTTTACAGATAGGCAAGCTCATGACTATTTAGTTCAGTTATCACTTAAACATGGCGTTAGGAAAGATTTGAGACAATAGAAAAATAAATCTTACCGAGTATGTTCACATAAGTAGATTATTGCTATAAGTATAGCTACTATATGAATATTTAATACAATTACCAAAGCTTTAATGAAATCGTCTCAGACATAATCTGATTTTCACTTTTAAATACCCAACTATTTAACTATATGCCTGTGCATTCTTTTTCTTTTAACTTTATTGCTCAAGAGTAAAAGGTGAATCTCAAATGTAGAAAGTATCACTGATGTTAAACGGAAGAAAAAACGGAACAGCAATGGAAGACATGACCCCATAAGCAGACTCAGGAAGCCTGAATGACAGAAAAAAATCTAAAAACAAGCACTCGCAAAATAGAGAGAGGGAGAAAAGGAAACAAGCATTAGGAATATACATGAATAATGCAATTGTTACTTCAGTGTTGAGGAATTGTGTGCTCAGATTTCATTCTGCACTTAGGAAATGCAGTCATCTATTCATAAAATAATAACAAATCCTTTATAATATTGTCAACACACAAGAGAATATTTTATTAAGGTTAAGGGATTATTTGAGATCATTTCTATGATTTATTAATTTCTCATCATCTAAAAATAAACTTTTATCACATCTTATTTGCAACTATTCAGGAAAGCAGAATTGCTGGAAGGAGCACCTGGAGTTGCAGAGGTAGCAATTAATGCAAAAAGGGAAAACCACAGCAGAAACTTCAGTCAGAATCACAGCCCTCCGAGCGCTCCTCTGCTGTCCCAGGAGGAAAGAGGAGTGAACACAGCTGTAGCCACAGCAAGTGCCCCCGACACATCAGCTATTAGCAAATTAACAAAACCCAGGCAATCCAGCGTGGGGGAATTTCAGTGCAGGGAAGAGATCAGCCTCTTCCAAACAGCAGCCAAGGCAGCCTGTGCACCAAGGTCCCTCTCCAACCTCCTCTTGGCTAGGAGTTTCTGGGGATCTGAATTACATTCCTCATAGAACAACAGGTTGCTGTGCCTCAGGTGTAAAATTGGACCAATAAATTCCTATTTCAGAGTAGTTAGGAGGACTTGATTAATAGTACCTGTAAAATAACTGTGACCTAAATTGAGGAGCCACAATGCAGATATTACTCTCATGATATATTGTTTTACCTTTATAATCTCATACCAAACTGTAGGTCTTTTACCTTGGCAGAAGGCAGCTAAGGGAAATATTCAACATCTGCCATACAAGAATGCAGGTGTAGAATATTTTTTAAACAGCAGCTGTTTTGCAACTGCCCTAACTTAGGAAATATTGCAACGTTCTTTTGAAATGCCCTATGCGGGTATGGAGTATTTTATTCATTCCTTTTACTCTCATATGAATTCTTAAATGAGCATATAGCGAATACTTTATTCTATTCAATCCATCTTCCTTTTGCCTCCCTCTCCTGCAGTACAGTTTGAGGACCTTCACAATTACTTCAGAGATCAGGGAGCCTTTTCCTTGACTTACTGGATCAAGGGGTACTGCCAACAAAGAAAAGTCCATCAGCAACTTCGAACTGAACAGTGAGGCTATTAGAAACCATTCTGTCAACCAAAGATCATATGGCAACCCAAAAGGCTAGTCCCAGGAATAAAATGGAAAATGGTTCAGCTGGCATGTTCTTGGACTGAAGGGGAAGAATGGGTTCTTAGAAGCACCCTGCTTGGGCGATGAGTTCACTTTCATACAATGCTAAGAAAAAAAATAATTATTTCCTATGCAGTCCTCACAATGTCCTTAGAGGACTGTAATCATAGATACCTGTCCTGTTTTCAGGCAATCCCTAGGCAACCTGTCCTTCGTCCCTCATAATTAGAGGGGATCAAAGGCAAAGGCAAATCCCATCACTGTTTCCTTACTGGCATCACTAGGAGACTACAATAGTAGGGGCATTTACAAGCTATGTAATTGCTTTCTTTTGCCAATACTTAATACAAATTTAACACAGTTAATCTGGCATTTTTTCCTTTAAAAAGCTGTGATGATTGGAAAGTACCTCCATATTTTGCTAATCAAATTAAAAACACATAATCCTATAAAGCACTCGACTAATTTTGGACTTAAATTTTGAAGAAATCAGTGAGGTCCCTACTGTCACCTGTCTGCAGACATAGTCTTTATGGTGTTCACTATATTTTACTGTTTGCAGGCATCCTATCCTCTCGTCAAAATTACTGAAACACTGAATAACAGACAGATTGTAAAAGATTTCACAAGTTGTAAACAAAATGTCAGCTGGTCAGAAACTTTTAATCTTAAATTTTTTAGAAAAGGTACAAACCCAAGACTTGTGTTCTACTAACCTGGCCATCTGTTTATATGCTTCTTCAGCCACTGCGAAGATATGCGGATCCATATCCCCCATATTTTGGCCACTGTAGGCATTGATGATATCTTCGCCATAGATAGGCAGTTGTTCATAAGGATTTATGGCCACTAAGACAATACCTAGAAACCAAATCAAACAGAAAATGTTATTAACAGTTGTCTTAAAATGGATTTAATAGCAACTAAACTACCTTTTGTGCCTTCTAAACACTAAACACTAACACTAGCTAAACACTAGCTATAAAAAAACAAGGACCTGACGACTAAACTACCTTTTGTGCCTTCTAAAAATACTAGCTATAAAAAAACAAGGACCTGACATTAGCTTCAACAGATATTTAACCTGGCCTCAAATACGCATACAAAAACTGCAAGAAAAGTTTACTTGTACATTATTATTGGAAACACACCAGGGAATTTTGTTTCCATCTCTCTCTTCTGGAGCAAGCATGCATAAAGCAATATAAGAGGGGCGGGGGGGAAACAACTCTAATTTTAACTGTGGCCATTTTTTAAATGGATTTTCTTCTCACACACATATTTCAGTACCTGAAAGTGACACACAGCTGCAAGTGGCTGCACAATGACTGTATGAGAGCACTATAACCACCTTCTTGCACCAACTGGTTGCTGATGAACACGCACCACAAACCTTTCCATAGCTCACACACACGGTCACACACACATTTGCTTCCTGAACGTGGTTCCCAGCCCTGTCTTCTATGCAGACCCCAGAGTTATGATTTCTGTTTAGGACATTTTCCATGCAAAAGTGGAGAGAAGGGAAGTGAAAGCAACTATAACTGGGCTCTGCTGCTGTGAGTATCTTCCATTTTGTAAATCCCACTATGCATTTATAAATAAAGCACAAGCTACAGCAAAAACATTAAACAGCAACAGAATATATTTCAAGAAAAGATCTAAGAGACCTTGATCTATTTGCACAAATAGACTGCACATCATATGTGCACACATATCTAACTAGGCTCAGTGTTTTTCCATCAGCCATGATTTCACTGAAATGACTCAGGGATGCCAGTTAAAAGCATCTGTAAAAATTATGCCAAGTTCAAATGCTTTAATGATGAGCCAAAAAATGGAGGGAATTGGGAAGGGGGAATAAAGGACCCCAGTACTAGCAGACTTGTGGAACGATTTGGGTGTCAGTTTTGAACATCTACGCTTTGAAATTACAGTATATGAAAAGGTAAGTTTTCTTCAAGGAACATTGCAGGGTCCATGCACTGACAAGGAAGCCACGTGGCAGTGTGGAGACAGTCAGCAGCGGGTTAGACTGGGACGGCTGAACGGACGTTTTTTCCTGCCTGCTCAATTCCCCATCTACTGCGGGCGGCAGTGCAGCCAGCCAGGGAACCACCAAACCAGCCAACCAGACCAGACCAAACCAGGACAAAATCATGCTAATACCTTTAACTGAAGCACAAAGATGGAGCAGTAGATGCAAAGGATCAGGTTTGGGTGCTATAAGAAAACTAGGTGGGACAGCAAAATCAGTCTGGATTGCCTGAGGGGATACAAACAAGGACAAATATATGCTGGCAATACTTGGCAGAGGGCAGTGCCTGGACATGTCCATGGCATGGCGGCCTCTTCTGTAAAACCAAACACACCCACAGAAACTGCAACACAGCTAGAGCGCGACTAATTCCACAGGGAAAGGCCTGGGGACAAAGCCAGGCCTCTTCAGAGTAGCGCAGGGGCCTCTCCTGCTTGTTTGCTCCTACGCTGGCTCTGCTCCCAGCTTGTACTGTGTCCTGGAGGCAGCAGGTGGAAGCTATGGATCTCAGACACCTCCACACCCGGGCACCAGCTCCTCAGAGCTCCAAAGGAGAGCAGGGCACGGCACCACGCAGCCAAGGAGAAGCTATCCCAAGGCTGCTGGGGTGCTCAATGGGATGTGAGGAAAATTGCCTGGCATTAAGAAAAAGCCTGAGAAGCACTCTTGGATCCTGAGGGTCCTTGGGGGATTTGTCAACATTTGGAAATACACAGGAGAAACGCTCACTCACTTCAACATGCTCCAGAAGCACAGACAGCCACATGGCCTTGGGGAGTTTACAGGACTCGGAGCACTGAACAAGAACCATGTTCCAATTCCTAATACCACCAATAAAGCAAGCTAAACAAAATGACAGTGTTATCTGTTCTTAACCCAAGGTGGCCTGACGGCTCCACAGGAGAAGGAATTAAAAGGTTTCTAAGGTAAATCTTCAACACACTCCAGAAGCACAGACAGCCACATGGCCTTGGGGAGTTTACAGGACTCGGAGCACTGAACAAGAACCATGTTCCAATTCCTAATACCACCAATAAAGCAAGCTAAACAAAATGACAGTGTTATCTGTTCTTAACCCAAGGTGGCCTGACGGCTCCACAGGAGAAGGAATTAAAAGGTTTCTAAGGTAAAAACCTTCGGTGGAGGGGAAGCAACAATAACTTCAGATGAAGACTAAGCAAGTGACTTGAAAAGTGAATGTCCACAGCCAAGGCATCACATTTCTAAAAGATAACATATTGCAATTATTTAATTTATTCTGTAAGATACGGTATATTTACCTACATCCCAAGTTAATATATCCTCACCATAATGTATTCCTCCATGCACTGATTAGTATCAAACTTCCCCTTTGACCACCTGGAACCCCCAGGCTACTTAATCCACACGTTTCTACTAAATCCAGCATGCATTTCTGAGAATTCTCCATTGAGTCCTGTTTGGAAGCAAAGAGGTTCGTCCAGCTCTACATTCCCAGCTTTCTGGCAAATCACTGAACTCCAGAAACAGTTAAAGGCCTTCCAGCCATTTGGCTGTATAAAATCAGCTAAACCGCCAACAACAGAAGCACTAGGAAAACCAGGAAAACAACATGCTTTCCAAAACACAGCAAAACAAAACTAGCAGGCAACACATTCCTTTCGAAAGCCTCTCAAACGATGCTAAACATCCACATTTGCAAGCCAACCAAGCACAAACCAGGCAGGCTGTCTTACGGGCCCGGCACAGTGGCGCTAAGGTCAGTAGAGACTGTTGCTTGGGAAGCCAGAGGACATATAGCACAGGGCCCTTCACAAGAATGTCCCAACAGGGCCTGTCATTAAAATACTGTAAGTTAAAAGCACACATATTAGTCATCAACTTCCATCCCCACCATCTATGTTACTCTCCATAAAGATACTCTATGGTATAAAAAGAGGGCACTTACCACAATAGGTATAAATTAGTTTAGAGTCTATAAACCGAACTTTGAGGTTGTGTAAAACAGCAGGTTCATGGAGATAACTCAGTGCTGTGAGGTCATTTTCACCAACAAGTATGTCAGGGTTTCGCAAGGGAGGGAGTTCCTTGGTCTTTGGATCTAGGCAATATTCTAAGTCCTGAAAAACAAATGGATACGTATGTTGAAAAAAAATGTGGTTTTTAATGTTTTCTCATTCAGCCCGCCCAACCTTTCTTCCTCAGCAAAATATTCTCAAATTATAAAGACACAATACACAATCTAAATTAACAACTGATTTGACTTAGCATTGCTTCCTCCAAAAATATTGTTAAAATTTTCCCCAAAAGGATTTTCTATTTTACAACATGCAACCATACTATCATATTTTTTAAAACTATTAAACAAATATTTTGCTACCAAAATTTATTCTTAAATAAACTGAAAGATATCATGATCTATTTTTTCACATTATTTTCTTCTCGAGCAGAACAAAGTTTCATCAGTCAGCTTCATATGCAGAAGATTTGAGAATACTGGCAGAGCACAAACACAAACACATAAAACAAAAATAATGCACAGATGAAAATTTATGCAGCCGTAAATTTATCTCTACTGTAGATGATTTGCTTGCATCTGTCCATAGACCTAACGCTACTTCAGTTTAGCTTTTCTTGGTCCAACACAATATGATTTAAGTGCCAAACACTGCTATTACATCTACCACATGCAACATCCAAGTGTGTAAGACCACCACATGTGTGGTGGCGGGAAATAAACTTGTCACACTGTAAAGGCTGTACTCAACTTATACTGTAAGTGACATGACAGACTCAAAGACTGAAATTATTCAAGGAAAGTATTTTATTTAGAAAGCATTTCTATATCTAATCTGTTAATTTCTACTTCATTACTATATATATACACCTAAACTATATACCACTGCATAAAAACAGGATCCAAGCTGCTCAGTGGTAAGAATTAACAATAAAATGACCCATTGCAGTATATCTTTTTTTTTCTGTGAAGATCTAAGCGATCACCATCATTACATATTGAAATTTAAAAATTTCAATGGCATATGTAAAAATTAATAGGCTTTCACTATAAGTATGTGAGACTTTTTGTAGAGATATCATTATTTCTTTATATAGTATGCAGTACCGTTAATCCTTGTCCCAATTTATCTTTATTAATCTTCTGACTGTTATGCTTCACTCAGAAGTCATAGTTCTTTTTCTGCAACACTACTGCCCTAGCAGCACACTGGAATATCAAACCAGGGTTACAGCTTTAACAGCATAAACAGAAAAAGATGATCCAAATAAACACGAGGAGCAGCTGGATAAAAGCAACAAAGAATAGTAGTTTGAAAAATCAGATAAAATTGATTTTTTCAAACAAACAGAAAAATTTGTTACACAAAAATACTGCTCAAAATCTGTCAGCAAGAATAATTGCACTTACATAAATATATTTTGACAACGCAGCTTTCTGTGTTAGATACACCGGGCTCCAGCTGAGAGCAAGAACAACCAGTTTGCAAATACCGTGGAGACCTACCTTGCCCTCTTCAAGTCGAAGCTGGAGAACTTTATCTCCAGGTTTATAATCCTTGAGAAGTTCTGCTGACTTCCAGACCTCCTCTGGATCAGGGATCCAAACCCTGGCATACTGCAGAATGAAGACAAGAGCAAAAGTTTAAATTACTTCTTAGTTAGAAACATAGTTAAATCTTCAATATATATGACACCAAAACCTTTCTTTTAAAGATGCATTTGTGTAACAGCTCAGCCTTTAAAGAAGAGAGAGAATTTATTAGAATGTCTGAGGGGACTAAGTTGCTCTATTGATTGATAAAAGTCTACATTATTTCCTATTCAGAAAGAAAAAAGGCAATTCGCATGCAAAATAAAGTTCCATGAGATACACTGAATGCTGAAAATCTGTAAAGAAAGATGTTTTCAGAAAGATAGAAAATTCATCTAAAAGAAATAAAGTGACTCTTCTGAGACTTATTTCAACTGAACAGGTTTTAGGTGTATTTGCAATAATGTAAAATAAAATGCTGCTGCAATGTTAAGAGATTGCTTAGGCATATCTGTGTTAATTCAGACAAAGCTACCTGATCTTAAGTACTGAGAGCTCTTTTCTTGGTATATGCAAAATACAGGGAAAGTTTAGAAAGGATTATCTTCAGAAGGAACAAAACAAAACAAAACCTTGTTTAAAAGACCTCCAAATAATAGAAAAATTCATAAATCCAGTTAAGGATCATTTTCATCCAAACCAAAGGCCCGAGCGTGATGACTGTCTTTAGGAAATTTTACATGGGCGCCAAACTCAAGAGACTGCCTGCCTGTTTTCTCCGATATTGAATCATGGAAATGTCACGAGGAAGGCTGCAGGCTCATGGGGACACCCTCCTGCTGCTGCGAATGGCCTGAGCTAGCCTCAGTAACAGTGTTGAGATAAAGCCCTGGGATACCAAAGGGGAAAAAATAAAATAAAATAAAATAAAATAAAATAAAGCATACGGGAACTGTCCATGATTAATAAATAAGGTGTTTAGAATACTTGAAATGGTTCTGAATATTGAAATGCTTGTTAACAGAATGAAAAGGTTATTTATCATTTTAAAACAGAAGCAGTCACATGTTTTAAGACATGAAGTATGAGCTAAGGGAACCAGACTCTTTCGGATATTCGTACAATTCAGCTGCATTACGGCAGATCCACCATTGCACTTAGAAAAGCAATTTTGGTAACACAGAACACATACACTACATGTTTGAAAACCAAAAAGAATAGCCATGTTTTAAAGTGAGCGAAGCCACCTATCACGGTTATCTCATGTTAAAAGAATCAATTCAAAGTGAACGCAAACTGTGCTGGTTACTTGCGCCGCTGCACGTATGTGAGAACATCTTTACAGCAGCGCTAGGCGAAGGTGAAGGCACTTCCAACACAGCAGAGCTTCTGAGCTGATGCTCTGCAGAGCCCGGAGCTTGCCCCACGCCCAGGGTCTCTGGGAGCAAAGCAGCCCCTGGCTTCACAGATGCCGTCATGTTGCAAAACCTCCTCGAACACGAGCCCCAGTTAAAAAGGGCAGAGAACCAGCCTTTGGGCAGGAGAGGCTGGTATTTTCCTTGTCTCTAGCTAGGGGCCTGGAGCCCAAGTTGGAGAGGAGGCCTCCTGCGCTGCCCGCGAGGTCCTTGCGCCTTGACTCACACTCCAGCAACCAAGTAACGGTGGTTCCTGCCATCCCCACACTCTGCAAACCACCTAAAAACTGTGTGTGCCTGGGTTGTGGGGTATATAAAGAACAGTACATAAAAGATACAATGTACAACACCACAGGGTTGGCATTTTTGCATAGAATTAAGGTTATTCTTTCAGCCAACATCCAGATAAGTGCTCAGCTAAGACTTGTGTAGATTTCTGGCCTTCAGCAAAATCAAGAAAAATGCTACATGCTTTGTAAGGCATCCAGAAGTGACTGTAGAAGCAACTTAAGTTAAAATAAAGCTGAAAACACATTCTGGCTAACCAGAGTTCATTAAACACTTGTTGAACTGTGCACAAAATATGGAGTTAGCAAAATCTCGTGTTTTATTCTTATTTTTGCCACTAACTTTTTTTTTTGGGCTCAGTTAAGCCAACAATTCCCTAACCAATGTGTCTGACTGATAAAAGACTGATAAAAGAACTACGATGACAAACATGAATAGTGATAGATTTTATGTGGATTATGTTTCTTAAAAGAACACCAAAGAAAATAACTACCAGGCCATAAAAAAAAATCATTCACTCCTAAAAATGGTGATTCTAAACCTGCACAGTGTGTATTTGCTTCACTTAATGGTAAGTAAATAGAAGTTTCTCTAAGCCGTATGGCAATGAATCACTGAAATTGGTATCCACAAACTGTTTCAAAATAACCAGAAAGGATTTGTCAAAGCACGGCATTTGAAGGCAGAGAAAACTAGGTATTTGGTCATTCAGTTTAATCACCTATCTTACACAACTTATTTTCGTATAACATGTTCTGTCTCAACAAATGCTGAAGCTTTTTTCCTCTTTTCTTCTTAGTAACCTGTTTTTCTAACCACTTCAATGACTAACTTGCTTCTATCAGTTTTTTTTGAAGGGGATTGGGTTTTATTATTATTTTATTTTTTTGAAGACAAACCTTTGCATTGCCTTCTTGCACGGTAGGAAACAACAGCACAGGTCTACCAAATACAACTTCATTGGGAAGGAAGCTGGCAAGTGTTTAGGAGCACGCAGCACCGGAGGAAACACTCCGCATGGTTTGCATTTGCCAGCGAGAGTCAGAGCAGGGCTGCAATTACACAAGCTGGAGAGTACCCAGGGCACCAAATTAACATTTCTAACTCTTGCAATAAATAAATAAATAAATAAAGCCTACAACATTTTTAATTATCCTGCTTTAATATCTCATTTGAAATTTGAAATATTGTAAATCCAGGCTGAGTGCCAGTGGCAGCAGCCGAGTTCAAGAGCACAGCTCCTGGCAGAGGTTTTCGTTTCTCCCCGCTCCAGTTTGCTCCCTTGTCTTCCAGGGGGACGGTTGGTCCTACCCCTGGAGTGGCAGCATTCAGCGCGAGCACCGCTGCAGCCTATTACACATTTCAGGTATCATCTAAGTCTACCATAGGGGCGTCCCATCGACAAGGCTAAATTAAGCATAGCCAAAACAAGGATTGCAAGAAACTTTCAGGAACTAAAAGGAAGTACAAAATAAATGAAAAGCTAAAATGATCAGAAGCAAAATGACCTAAAATGTACCTGGAATTACTGTAAACTTCATAAAACATTTTGTTTCCCTCAACTGAAGTGCTTCCACCACAAATACCTCACGTTTCTGTGCCTAGTCTTTCTTACCAGATGATTATGCCAACCCTCACCATGTATTTTATATGATAAACTTTCATTTCTGTAGTAAATACGCTTTTCGTTAAGCTTTAGTAGATTCATGCATATGTTATTGTTATTAATACAGAAATGCAATAGTACTTTTGGGGTACATGCCCTCGTTACTACTCCCTGAAAGGTAAAAATAATGATGAATTATTTGAAAAAAGAACAATTCAGAAAACAATACTTCAACATGGGTCGTTGCAATTCATGCAGCAATGTATATAAATGTAAGGGATATCAGTAAAAATTCAGCAGAGCAGCTGGAAAATTAGGTGCCAAAGACACGGTTTAGTTACTTAAATAATTTAGGTACTGATGTTTCTCCAGTAAAATCTTTGAAGGGAGATTTTCAACTGATAAATCACTGTCAACACTGGAGACCAGACTGAAACACAAGCATGGGGAATAAAATGCACGAGATGACAATAATCTATCTAAAAAAAAAAAAAGTTCAAAAGGACTAACAGCTCATTAGCTACCAAGAAGCTTGGAATAGTCTTGAACCACTGTATATGCAGCACATTTACAATGCCCGATTCGGATGTTTAGGGAGTTAGGAGTCTCTTGTCTCTACTTCACTTTCCAAAATTAGGCTGGATAGACATGACAGAATCTTGCTTTGTTCAAGGAGAATTTGCAGAACTTCTTTAAACTAAAAATCAAAATTCTGGCAGGAACTGTGCCAGATGCTTAGATTAGCATCTTTGTGTTAAACTATCAGACACCTCTGAAAACAGATTGCATCACATCTCTCCCAGGACTTTTTGTTTTGTTTTATTAACTTCTCAGTTAAATCTGTAGCTTCACATCATTAATATTTCTGACAAGATACTACTTCTCTCTCAGCCTAAGAATTAACAGAAAGCACTGTAAAGGTAAATACAAAAGATGATAAATGCTTTTAAATATTGCTTTTGCAAGCAAGTTAGCAAGCCAGTCTCCACAACACAAAGTTTTGCCAAATAAAAAAGGGCAGCAGCACTGTAAGACACAAGCTCTGTTCACTGTACGTGGAAACGTTGCACAGCTGCTCCTAAGTGCATGATCCAAGCCAGCATGAAATAGGCACCTTTAATTTATTCAGCTGAAACTGTTCATTTTCCACTGCCTTTCCACTGCAGAAGGGAGGAGAGCAGCTCGCCATAGAAACTGGGTAACTAGAGCTGAGTGTTTCGCACAACAACCTTGCAGATACTGAAGGCGTCCGCGGAGCGCCGGGCTGCAGCTCTGCACCTCCAGCACCGCCGCTACCCGGGCTCCAAACCCTGCCAGAAAACTAGCTGGTAAAAAGGACAGGTGGGAGGAAAGAGAAGGATGCTGCTAATCACCAGGACTGAGTCATTGCAGAGCATTTGCACCTTGCTAATTTAGCAGAATTAAATCAGATTTTCATGCCATCTTTTACATAAGCAGTTGATATTAAAATCCTACAGCTCTACAGGTTCTAGAGTGGACAGGTGAAGCTAGTGACCTTACAGAAAACTGCATTTTCACTGTCAGAAAAAGGACAACGTCCTGAAGAAGGGGAACACTTAGTTTTTTTCTTGGGAAATACCTTTTATTAGTATGTTTATTATTCAACTCCTCCTTATTTACTAACATACAAAATGAAGATTACGACAACATTAAAATAAGACTAAAATACGTTAAGCTTTTAGAGACACTGAATTACGTATCAGTCTTGTACAAAGAGAAGATTTTAGCCTAAAACACCACTGAAATTTAACAAG